GCGCCGCCATTGACATTGTGGAAAGATTTTGTGAGTCCGAGATGGCCGTCACCTTAGGTTGTCACTTCCTATCCAAAGATTTCAAAATTTTAACATTTAATTCATCAACGTCAAATACTTTACCTAATTCTGTGAGATGATTCACAATATGAATGAAACACTTTTGAACGTCGAATATCGTTTCTCCTTGTTGCATCCAGAACATCTCGTATTCTTGGATTAGGGAGTTTTTGCGTGCTCTCTTAACGTCGTCAGTACCTTCGTGGGTCACTATAAGCATTTCCCACATTTCCTGTGCACTTTTACAAATAGAAATCCTGTAAAACCCGTCAAGGGTTAGAGCAGATGAAATTATATTTCTAGCCCTAACGTCAAATTGTGTTTTTCTGTTTTCTTCTGCAGTCCATCTAGAAGTTTAAGAATGTCAACATCGTTCTCTGTAACTTTACGAACATATGGACCGTTTAAAATAGCATCCCAAACGCCTCTATCAACAGAATCTAAAAAAATTTGCATTCGTACCTTCCAAAAAGGATAATTTTGACCCGCAAAAAGTGGGGGTCTGTTGATAGACGCACCTTCGGCAAAAGTTTGATTTTTTCTGGCCATTTTCAAAAATTTGAATGACTATCAAAGCAAGCTCTGATACCACTTGTTAGAATCGCGCAGCGGAATGTTCGCGTGGTCGGACAAAAACCAAGAGGAGGGGTGAATTGGTTTCTTAACAAAAATTAGGTTTTCAAAATTTTCCCCAAATTTTACCGATTAAAAACTGTGTAAATGTAAATAGAGAAGAGATAGAATCTTACACAGGAGATTTATACTGGTTCAGATCAAAAGACCCTACGTCCAGTTTCTAATCACTCAAACAGAGGATTAACGTTGTCACTATAATCAAGTTGTTACAAACAAATTACAATTGAAAAGATAAAGATAAGAAAACACCTCTCTTGAAATCCACAAGAGATGATGAACAATTTTTCCTAGAGATGGCACAACACACAATCCACTAAGAACTCCACTTAGTGATTCTTATCGCTTCTAGCCCACACCAGGTTCCAAAAGCCCCTTTTTCTTGCAACAAACAGTTCTCTGACACTTACAACACTTAACTTTTGTATGAAAAAGGTTGTTCTTCTTTTCTGAGTGCCATAGAGAAGCTTAAGTAGAGAAATTAGGGTTTGGGAATTGGGAATTTCGGAATTAGGGTTCTTGGGAAAAGGGTTTTCGTAAATAGGGTTGATTTGAAGTTAAAAATCAAAATCTGACTGAAATAATCGATTAAATGAAGTATTAATCGATTATTACAGAGCCAAAATCAACAGAACCCCAAAACACACTGTTTTAATCGATTAAAAGGACTGTTAATCGATTAACAGGCCTATTAATCGATTAACAGGTGGTTTAATCGATTAAACCAGTGAGCAGATACAAAAAATGGTTTTTCTCACTGTTTTAATCGATTATTTCCCTATTTAATCGATTAAAGCCGAGCCTGGATGATAAATTTGAGCTTTTTGAAGCTTCTAAGGTGTAGACTATGTACCAGCTATCTCAAACTCTAATATTACAGACTCAATCTAATTAAAACAGAGTTATTACAATACAAAACAAGTCTTCAACACTTTAAGTCTTTGAGTTCTTGAATCATCATCAAAATCAACAATCTTCATGTCCATCAAGTGCAACATCAAGTCCTTGAATGTTCAACAAATACCACCTTATAGAATGTCACCTTTAGAATTGACTGAACTTAAGAAACAATTAGAAGAATTATTAGAAAAATAATTTATTAGACCAAGTGTATCACCTTGGGGAGCCCCAGTCTTATTAGTTAAAAAGAAAGAGGGAAGTTCTAAGTTATGTGTAGATTATAGACAATTGAATAAGGTGACAACACAGAATAAATATAATTTACCTAGAATAGATGATTTAATGGATCAACTTAGAGGAGCTACTATATTCTCTAAAATAGACTTAAGAACTGAATATTATCAAATAAGAGTTAGAAAGGAAGATATATCTAAGACTGCATTTAGAACTAGATATGAATATTATGAATATCAAGTGATGCCTTTTGGAGTTACTAATGTCTCTGTCGTCTTTATGGACTATATGAATAGGGTATTTAGACCTTATTTGGATAAATTCGTAGTAGTGTTTATAAATGATATATTGATATATTAAAAAACTAGAGAGGAACATGAAATTCATCTTAGAATAACTTTACAAACTCTAAAAAATAAACAGCTATATGCAAAATTGTCTAAGTGTGAGTTTTGGTTGGAGGAAGTAAAATTTTTAGGACATGTTATTTCTAAAGAAGAAATAAGTGTAGACCCTTCAAAAGTAGAAGTTATAATACAATGGAGACGACTTAAAACTATAACAAAAATTAGAAGTTTCTTAGGACTAGCCGGATATTATAGAAGATTTATAGAAGGATTTTCAAGAATAGCAGGACCGTTAACCCAATTAACTAGAAAAAAAAAACAGCCTTTTATTTGGAACTTAGAATGTGAAAATAGTTTTCAAGAATTAAAGCATAAATTAACCACTTTTCCAATATTAGTGTTACCCAGCCCACAGAACCTTATAAAGTATATTGTGATGCATCATATCAAGAATTAGGTTGTGTATTAATGCAAAATAAAAAAGTAGTGGCTTACGCTTCTAGACAACTAAGACCATATGAAATAAATTATCCACACATGATTTGGAATTAGCAGCTATAGTGTTTGCTTTAAAAATTTGGAGACATTATTTATATGGATCTAGGTTTGATGTCTATAGTGATCATAAGAGTTTGAAATATTTATTTGATAAAAAAGAGTTAAATATGAGACAAAGAAGATGAATGAAATTTATTAAAGATTATGATTTTCAGTTATTTTATCACCCAGGAAAAGCGAATGTAGTAGTGAATGCTTTAAGTAGAAAAATTGTTCATGTTTCAACTATGGTGATTAAATAAATGGAATTGATAGAGCAATTTAGAGATTTGAATTTATACACTATTAGTGAAAATGATAGAATACAATTAGGAATGATTTCTATTAATAATGAGTTTCTATATAAAATAAGAGACAAACAAGGAGATGATGTGTTTATATTGGAAAAGAGAAAATTAATAGGGACTGATAAAGCTGAAGATTTTAATTTAGGAATGGATGATATATAAAGATTTAAACATAGAGTATGTGTGCCAGATAATAAAGAAATTAAGGACTTAGTTTTAGAAGAAGGACATAAAAGTAAATTAAGTATACATCCTGGAGTTACTAAAATGTATAAGGATTTGAAAGAAATGTTTTGGTGGCTTGAAATGAAGAAGGACGTAGCAGAATATGTTGTCTGTTGCTTAACATGTCAGAAAATTAAAATTGAACATCAAAAGCTCTCTGGCATGTTACAACCATTAGAAATTCCAGTCTGAAAATGGGAAAGTGTATCTATGGATTTTGTAGTGGGTTTACCCAAAACTTCTAGAAATTACAATTCTATTTGGGTGATTGTGGATAGGTTAACAAAAACTGCTCATTTCATTCCAATCAATATTAAGTACTCTTTAGATAAATTAACATTATTGTATATCAAAGAAATTGTTAAACTACATGGTGTACCAACTAGTATAGTATCAGATAGAGATCCCATAGAAGAAAAATCCAGTTGGGATGAAATTTTACCCTTAATAGAATTTACATATAATAATAGTTATCACTCGTATATAGATATCGCTCCTTATGAAGCACTTTATGGGCGTAAGTGTAGGACACCTTTAGTTTGATGGTGAGATTTTATTAATAGGACCGATTGTAATTCAACAAACTACCAATAAAGTGAGGACAATTAAGGAGAGAATGAGAACTGCTCAAAGTCAACAGAAAAATTATGCTAATAAGAAAAAGAAACCTTGAGACTTTTAGAAAGGAGATCATGTATTTTTGAAAGTTACACCTATTACGGAAGTTGGCAGAGTTATTAAATCTAAGAAACTTTTCCCTAAATATATTAGGCCTTATCAAATTACACAACAAATTGAAAATATTACCTACGAGATAGCCTTACCACCTTTTCTCTCCAATCTTTATTATGTATTCTATGTGTCACAATTGAGAAAATATATTTTAGATCCAACACATGTCATGCAACCTGATCAAGTACATGTGAATGAAAATCTCACCTTTGAACCAAGTTATATTAATATTAAAGAAAGAAGAATTAAGCATATAAGGGAAAAAAACTATTTCATTAGCTAAGGTTATCTAGGATGACATTAGGTGATGCTACATTGGGGTTAGAGAAAGTGAAAACAGAGTATCCTCTAATGTTTGAATAAATAGTGACCAAAATTTCGAAGACAAAATTTATCAGTGGAGAAGAATTATAACATCCCAATTTCTGTCCAAAGACGAAATTTATTTAGTGGAGAAGAATTATAACATCCTAATTTCTGTCCAAAAAAGAGAATATATAATATTTTAGGGATTTCAAATCAAGAGCAAATCTGTCCAATAACTCCTAATACCAAATCTCTTAATTTTAGGGATTTCAAATAATCCTATATTTATTATACAGTAAATATATAATATTTCTACATATTCTGCCACTATTTTCTTCTTTGTCAGTTATCTCGTCATAAAAATTAGTAAGAAATGCACAAAACTACATTTTCTTTTCCTGGGAAAAAAAAATCAACACGTAAACGGCAAAGTGAATAAGCTGCACCATTCACTTAAAATGTACAAGGGGGCAACTACATCACCATTCTCATGAATGTATATCCAAAATTGTCAAGCATAAACAAACAGAGTTGAATAAGATTTCTTACAAGATATGCACAAAATGAAAAGAATGAAGCACCTCATCAAAAGTGCCTCATCTCTTCGATATCCTTCACCCCGAGAAGGTTGCAAGAATGGAACCCTAATCACGTATATATTTCAACCGCTATTAACATTATCTTGAAGAGATCAAGGGAGAAAAAGGCACACCAAGTGTTAACTCATCAATTTTCTAAGTCTTTTCTCAGCTAGACTAGCATCCTTGTTTTGTGGTTCAAGAACAAGAGCATGCTTGAAATCTGCATGGCAAGAAAAAAACGAGCCAGTAGAAGGGTTAAATATATAAAAAATACTAAGTCCAAACACACGGCCTCAACCCATGGTACATTGCCAAGACATCGTCCAGCGTCACAGAAATGAATCCAAGATTTTAATAGAATTAAAATAGGTAGAAGCCAAATACATTTAGAAAACAATTAAGACTTACCTTCAAGTGCCTCTTCATAACGTAGTAGTGATTCTCTAGCAGCTCCACGTCTCAGATATGCCTTCACATTCTGCATGGAAATAATTATGCACTATTCTTAATGAAACAGATTCATCTGTAAATATTTGCACAAAATCAGCTGGCTTCTTAATCTAAAGGAATCATAGAAAATATAGGAATTAAATAATTGAACATTATCAACTCAATCATTATCAAGGTACACACAAACAATAATAAGCACCTATTGTGGGTGGGTTTGTCTGCATAAGACAGATATCTATAAGGTAAGATGGTGCAACCAGAACTTCAATAAATATTAGAGGATATTACACTTGGTAATATGACCCCATTCCAAGGATTTGAGATTATTAGAGTTTAAAAATTATAGTAACTAAAAATTATCGGAAAAAAAAAAATTCCATAGCCACTCTCACTTTCACATGCCCCTTTTCTCACCTTCTTATCAAGCAATATTGCCTCACTGCAGTCTTTTGCGGCTTGCTGAAAGCTGCATAATCGCACAAGGTAAAATACCAATAAGATAGAAATGGTGCAAAGTATCCGTCTACCAATTGACAAACATGATAAAACTCATACCCTCCTAATTTTAAGTGAGCAGCTGCTCGATTGCAGTAGTATGTTGCATTCGTCCCATTCAATTTGATGGCCTCGGTGTAGTAACTGATTGCCTTACTCCATTGCCTTTCTTTGAATGCTGCATTTCCCTGAAATACGCCTTTTAGAGTGACTTATATCAAATTATCCATCCTAGGCTTATACCACATGTGAGCATCAGAAATTTTCAATAATTGACACTACCTAGAGTTATCCTGTGTCAATAATCTTCTGAATCATTTCCAAAATACACTGTTAGCAGATTTAATACATAAACAACTAAGAACTAATATTAAGTACCATTGTCTTCAAATTTAACATTAAATATACATATGCTTCCAAACGACCTTTCCAAGCTCATCTGATGAACTAGATTTTTTGTTATTCAAGAAGAAAATAATTTAAATATGAGAAAAGAAATTACAAAAAGAAAAGTGTTAAGCAATATTCCTGAACAAAAGATCGAATCAATAAACCAAAGTTAAAAAATAAAGAAAGAGCAGCAGAACAAGGACAGGTGAGGAACATGTACCAAGCAAACACCATACATTACAAAATGTCAAGGTAAAGAGCTTTATGCAGATCATTTGAATTCTTTAATGTACCGCAATCCAAATAAAAGACCCTTTGGACTTCATAATCCAAATATCTAAATATTTTTATAGCAATAATTTTATAGTCTCAATTTTGATCTTGTAGAGCTTTTAGAGCCAATTCTAAAGGTGAAAGGCCGGCTGGGTAACTCAAGGCCAGCTGACACATGGTCCAAACCAAAGGCCATAAACATAGAATACTGGACAAATTAGTAAGGCTTAAATAGTTAAAATGGCACTAGACAGAGAATGAGTACACTCAAATTCAACTTTGTCACTAATATAGCCTAAGTCTAAATTCAACAGAACTGATCTTTGAATTAAACCAAGCTAAGCTAGTGAGTTTTCACTAAGTATTGCGTCTTAACCGTTCTTACTAGCCAAAATAAAATATAAGTTGATACTATAGACCCCTTAAGTCATCCTTTGCTAACTAGAAATATATACAAAAACAATAACTTCTGTTCACATCTTGTCCAAAGACTCACATTGCAATCTGAAATTCAAACACCATGTTTGGCAGCATCCAACTTCACATCATGGGATTAACCAAATAAATAAACTGACAAACTTAAGAGAAATTATATCTGACTGAAGGGATTGCTCAGAGAAATCTAACCTTCTCTTTTAAAAGTTCAGAAGTTTCCCTGTTGCCACTTATATCAGGTAATGGCGAGTAATCGGAACCAACACTAACTTGCTCTTGAAGAGTTGAATAAATATCCAAGACCGTATCTAAAAGAAATTTATCAGCTCCATGAAAAGAGACGAATGAAATAGAAACACAACAACCATCGTGATATCCTAATGGAATTGAAACCTGCATATAATGTAAAAGCCTATATATATGTCAAAGAAGATACAGAACAATGAATAAGAATGACAATAAAAAATATTACCTCTGAACCTAAAAGATATCAAATTACCTGACAACATCCAGATACACTGGCAATGCTCGATAATGCAAATGTCCTGTCTTGGAACTCGGAAGAAAAACCTTTATTTGTATTAAGCTTTAATTGGCTGTCTGCTACAGTAGGGATAACTAGTATTCCATCATCCTGTGGGACAATCAAAACAAGGAGATAATAGGGTAGTATTCAACCATACAGTGGAGATGCCAAAATTATTTTAGTAAACAATTTTCATGTCCTCCACTAATCTAATCTAATAAGTTAAAACAATTTAAATGAAAGTTCACTGCCTTAGAAAATCTATAGAAGAAACAAAAGTACGAAAAGACTAGTACCTTCAATAGACTTTGAAAAGCACGACGCATCTCAGTCCTAACTTTGTACAAAGCTTTTATATTATCATATACAGTACTAATGGCTGCAATAACATGATCAGACACACTATAACCTAACTTGAATTTGAGTGATTTAACCCATTCTTCATGATTGGTTTTAAATTCATACCTGAAAAAGGAGATAAAAACATGTCAAACAGTTATAAGGTCATAGACATAAAATGATGCAATATATCCTATGAAAGTAAATGAATAGAGGTATGACTACGTAAAAGACCATGTAGTGTAGAGAGAATTACATGTTATTTGCAACGGACATTTTATTTGGATGGAAACCTTAATGTTGGGAAAGATAGCAAAATAAAAGTGCTATATGCAAGGCCATTGAATAATTTATTATCTGTGGATCTAACTTTTTCCTTGCTGAGTGTAATGATAATGAGACAATAAAAGAATATTTTCCATTAAAAGTAATGCAAATACAATAATTATAATTATCTCACTGATGATGAGTATACACTCTTGATTTTTCTCTCAATAGGGTCTTCTCTTACACAAAGTGAGATTCTCTTCTCTCAAACTCTCAATTTTGGTTTCTCCAAAGTAAAACAAAGAAAAGCATTTCGCTATTATAGCCAAGGTTGCTAACTAATGAGTGAGCTTTAAATGAAGAAAAACTATTCACTTTTCTTTACCATACCTTTCCTTCAAACTCTCCTTACTTCCATTTTTTTTTATTGACCATTTATTAATTTCCTTATTTTTCTCTTTTCTACCAATGGAGGACACACATCAATCTCCTCCTCCTGAATTTGGGTGGAAAGCTCCCGTAGGCCAATTGTTCATCTGCAAAATTTGTACTTGTCCTCATCATATTTAAACTGTTATCATCAGTATAATTTTCTCAAATTGCTATTGTTTAGATTCCAATAATCATGTATCCAGTGATATATCAAACCTCAATATGTTTTGATCTCAAGTGAAAACTCAAATTCTTACTCAAGTGGATCGCACTGTTATATCACATGCACAATGTACTTTTGTTAAGGTCCTAACTCATGCAATGCAAGAAATGCTTCAACCATAACATTGATGTGAGTTTAGGGACTGCTAGAAAGAGAAAACAATGAGAGGAAGAATAATTTTTGTGAATATTATTCAGGAATAAAAGATTTACATAAATAGGCAAGGCATCCAATTACATAATGAATCTAGAAAAGAAAGTAAATGAAAAGGGATCAAATCAAACTATAGATAATTTATTTTGACCCAAAAGTAATCAAAATCAGAATAATTTGACTCTGACCCTAATTATTTCAAATTAGAATAATCTGATTAATTATTCAATCTTTTAAGAAATAAAATTCAGCTGTATAATTAATTCCTAATGTAGACATACATTTGTCAACAATTTCTGTTAGCTTCTAAATTGCAATAAAGAAGTTTTTTCTAAGACTTGGGACCTGCAAGGAAAACTCTTGGCATGACCATTTCTCATGATCAAAAGGGAAGAAAAGTTACAGTTATTGGACGAAAAAAATATCTTGAAGGTATTAGGGCAGTTTCACATGAAGAAAGAAAAGGCAATTGCTACTCCACGCAATGGTTACATTATGCTTAGCTCAAATAGTCCTATACACGAAGATGAAAAGGAGGAAGCACAAGGTGTAATATGCCACACACAGCTATTGGAAGCTTAATGTATTCAGTGGTATGTAAACTACCAGACATAACAAATGCAGTTTATGTTGTTAGTAGATTCTTGGCTAAACCAGGAAAGAGCATTGGAATATATGAAGTGGATTTAACATATCAGAGGAACTTCAAAAATGAGTTAATGCTTTGGGAGTAGAAGCCCTGCACTAATTTGCTACATAGATATAAATATGGCAAGAGATGTTCATTCTAGAAAGTCTCCTTTTGGATACCTGATAACATTTTCAAAGGAAGCAATATTGTGGCAATCAAAGTTACAAGATGTGTAGCTTTGTCTACCATAGATACAAAGTCATTGTGATCACAGAAACTTGCAAAGAAACGTTATAGATGAATTATTTCCTGCATAAGTTACAACATGAACAATAGAAGTACAATGTGCATTATGATAGTTAGAATGCAGTCCACTTAAGCAAAAAATTCAAGTTTTCATTCCAGATCAAAAACACACCAATGTACAATATAATAGAATATGTGACATCTTCGAATCCAAGCAATTGTAACATGAGAAAACTCATTAATAATAACAGTTCATGTATGATGACCAAGTCCTTACCTAAGGGCTAGTACATATTTTGCTAAAGAACAACTATCCCTACACCCAATTTTAAGAAGAGATTGGTGAGTTTCCTTCTTTGGTGGAAAATAAAATATGGAAATTAATAAATAGTAAATAAAGAATGGATGTACGGAGGAGTTTGAAGGAAATCTATGGTTTTATTTGTTTCACATATAAATTTGTCGAAACTAAAACAGAGAGATTTGAAAAAAGAAAACCTCACTTGTGTGAGAGAAAATATCCTTTTGGGAGAAAAATCAGAAGACTATTTAGCCACCATATTGGTGAGATTATTATCATTGCTATTGTATTCACAATATTTTTCATAGGGGAAGATATTCTTTTATTGTCTCATCGTGATTACATAAATCCAGGGATGATAAATTATTCATTGGCCTTGCATTAAGCAGTTTTATTTTGTTATATTTCCCAACATTAAATTGTTTAATAAAATATTCTTGGCACATGTATATCCAATGTCCAAAAGTTTAAGAAAGTGTGTTGTTAAAAGTAGTAACTTGTAAGTACTAAAAAGCAAGCATCAAATGTCCAAAACTCATAGAAGCACAATGATATTCATATAAGCAACAGAATAGGAATTCAGGACCCTTCACAACAAATTGAACGAAATCCTTGCTAAAAGGTTGAATATTCCAACAGCTTTTTGAGTTTCGACAACTTGTCATTTATATTTTCAACATTGAAATTTCTTGAGTTGGTAAACAAAAAGCCACTGAAATTGAATGAAGAATTATAAACAATTTAGATAACCTTTTCTGAATGGATTTAACACAACAGAACAAGTTGGATAAGAGTGAGTAGTTTGTATATATTTTCAATATTAATTGTTAGAAGTAGCTAATTATAAGGGCCAAGGCCCATCTCTTTGTACCATGGCATCTATATCTATTTATCTCTCTCTCTCTCTCTCTTCATATATATATATATATGTTCCTCTTTTGTGCAGAAAACATATAGGGATTTTATTCCCATGCTTCTCTACCATTTACTCTATCAGTAATAAACTAGTAAAAGAAAATTTTGAAATTATACAACTATAGACCATGCAAAAAGGAAAATTCAAAAACAATTATATTTCTCATTATGTAGGTGGATCTGTTTTAGGGAAAGGACATATGTTCTTACAATATAAATGTAAGACCAACTACAGTAAATTGCTTTCGCATTATTGGAGCACAAAATATTCATGAACTTCACTTATCCAATATAACCACATAAAACTCTGAGCATATTACAGAATTGAAGATTAGCTTTTGTTTTGTAGTTAGCATCAGTTGACATGTTTCACAGCTAGTCACCACTTTATGCTTGTCCAACATAAATCTCCATGTGTTCAGTTTATGGCTTTTTTCAGGGTACTCCCAATTACTGTACCCAGATTGTTTAGCTTTATTATATCATGTTTTTATTTTATCTATAATCCATTTATAGGACTGTCCGATCCTTACTCATACAGCTTCACTATTTTTCACAATAAATTTTTAAGGGAAAAGCATACAGCACAAGGTGACATTATAATAAATCAAATGTAAAACTTTGAAACTTATAAAGGGATACCCTCGTAAAGAAAGCATAACCGAAGAGAGAGTTTTCAATATAGATGTTTCATTTTGTACGTCTGTTGATCGCTCATGAAGCCTTAGACTGGGCACCTTTGAATCAATATACTGACAGAGATTCAAATGCTTTGGATCCTGATCTGCAAAACCAAAATGACTAAAACTTTTCAGAAAACAATTTACACGATTTTCTATTCTTTTGGTGATTCAGTCTGGAGATGAACTTTAAAAACTAGTATTTTAATAATCAATTTACTAATATGAATGGAGGACTAAGTGGTCTTCAAAGATCCAGACACTTACACCCAGACATATTCTCAATAGCTTTACCAATAACATTTATTGTCCTCTGTGTAGGAATTTTAGATAACTGAAAAAGATCATCAGCAAATATGATACGCCTGGACCTTTTGGTCTCCACCGAACTCAATTGAAGTAAAACATGTCCAACACGATGCAGGATAGATGGATCGCGAGCAAACCATCCTGCAAATCAATTAAACAACAAAGTAATCAACAATCTAAACAAAATAGTGTTGACTATTGTATTAAAAAAAAAAAAATCCATTCACCTCACCATGTGGAGATTTATTATTAATCCTATTTTCAACTCCGGATGGCAGATCAAGACCATGAACATTTTTAATTGCTCTTTATCTTGTACAACTGTACAAAGTTCTACTGACCATATATTGTAAGATTGGACTTAAGTCAATTCTTTAACCCATGTATCAAATTGCTCTAAGTTCCTTCTTAAAGCTAGCAATGAGGGGAAAATGATGAAGAATCTCAAGACTAAATACACAGAACTTATGATTGAGTGTTGACTAAAATCGTGGCAACGGCAGAAATTTATGAAGCTTACCAATCGTGTCCAAGCTTTGTGCATTTGGAAGAACTCCAATGGTAGATACAGTCCCATGGGATGGTCGAAAACCAAAAATACCACAGAATGCTGCTGGAATTCTCACACATCCTGTAGTATCAGTACCTACCAAGACACAATAATCTTCCATATTAAATATATAGTTATGGAAAATCAAGTAACAAGTTTTCAAGGCCTCAATATAATGGCATGTTTGAATTAAGTCTATCCTGCATAAAAAATATATATATAAAAAAAAGGTAAATCTTAGTAGTAATTTCAAATTAAAAATGCAAGAATCCCAAAGATTTTAAATTGTTGGAGATCTCAAATCTCAGATTATAATATATATAAATGTGTAAATTTCACCTTATAAACCAATTTTGAGTTAGGTTTAAAATTCACTTTTTTGGATGAAATCAGAGTTATCCTAACAAGGTTTGTTGAATATATCATACTACCCATTATCGGACTCTTATTAGCCCACCCACAAATATTTAATCTCATGCACGCGATTTTCAATTCCCAACATGAGGAGGTGTGTTAGAGATCCCCTAGGAATAGAGGATGACCAATTATAATTCTCAAGCTCAGAATAAAATAATTTCACTCTTATTATGGCTTGTTACATACATTTAATATATATGCATAGATTGATCGGATAATTTAGGAAGGAAGAACAACCTATTTTAGGAAACAAATCCTTGAGATTGTGGGATTGATGTGCTAGTAATAAAACCAAGATACAACCAAAATATAGAATTAAAACCAATAGGAATAAAATCTAAAACTTCCTCAAATGTCTCGACAATAATATATAAATAAGTGCAAATCTCATTTTATAAACCAGTTTAATAAGATTGAGTTATGCTTAGAATCCACTTTCTAAGACAATATTGTTTGATATAACTTTATCTTTTACTAAATTGGCACTTAGTGCAATAGAAATAGAGGGAAGAATGAAATTAATTTTATTTGATAGAACAAGTTAAAAATGAAAAAAAAATAAAAAATCCAGGTATTATAGTTTAAGAATTTGAGGTCCAACATATAGAGCAACAAAGAAACAAAGGAAAATATAAACTATAGGATTCAAGCAAGAGATACAGGAAATGGATGTACTTCATGTTATTAGAAAAAAAAAAATTGAACCACTTCAGCTCAAAGGAAAAATTTACCACAGGGCTGCAAAACTGGTGATATTGTATGCAATAGAATGTATAAAGTAAAAGGTCAAAAAGAGCATGGTTATCAAACTCACAGGTTAACTAGCAAATTTGGACGAATCTACGAGTCTAGTGACTAGTTGTGAGTTAACTCACATGTACACTCAATTTAGAAGTATGCTCAAGCTGACTCAGACAAACTCAAGCTAACTTGCAGCGTTTACTACCAGGTCAGCGAGTCCAATTGAGGAGATTTATTTTAATCAAAACAATCCCAAAGGACATTGTTTAGTCATGAATTTGGAGCCCCAAATGAATAAGGGCTTCTTCCCTCTTTTCTCTTGGCTTTGATTTTTCCCTCCTCAATGCTTGATTCTCCTCTGCATCCACTGTCAACTGCATTCCGTTCTCCTCTGTATCATGCACTATTTCTCAGGTCGGGACTACATTTCGAGCCTTGGATCCTTTCCTTCTCCTCTATGATCTGACCATTGTATTTCTTCTCCTCTACAAAGAGGTAGGCTCTTCATTCTCTCCGTTTTCATTCTCTGTTTTCGTCCCCCTATTGGAGATTATTCTTATTTTCATATTTTGTTCTTTTCTGTTTTAGGAATTCTCTTCCCATGTTTTCGATGCCACAAAACATCTTTGCTGAGACTTGGCTGTTGGTTGGACTTGGGAATTTTATTTTTTAAAATTTGTTTTTCTTTTTTCTGTTTCATATATTGCTAAAATTTTAACATCTATATCAGTATTATTTTGTTCCATATGAAGTAGACACCTACAAATCTATGGAGCTCCCATGATTGTATGTGAACTCTCAAGTTTGATAACCTTTAAAAAGAAAATAAACTCAACAGAAAAAATGAGAATGTTGACTTGGAAGGGTAGGCAGATCACCAGACATGATAAAATTAGGAACAAATGCATTGGAAAAAATATCAGGGTAGCACCTAACTAAGAAAAGATAATAGAAACTCACCTTAGGTAGTTTGAATATTTGGACACATGTGGACAAGCTGTAGAAGCCCCATTAAGTAAAGTAAATCAGATTGCAGGTAGCTTAATCACTAGAGGTAGAAAAGACTCGGAAAAAGCTAGAGGCAAAACTATGAAGAAAAATTTAGAGGGTCAATAGTTTGTTTATCAACATGATTTATGATAGAACATACACCTAATGGCTAAAGGCTTGGTTGTTCTTATAATTTAATAGAAACACAATTGCATCAGAATCACCAAAGCATGATAAAGGGTGCATTGCTAGATTGAAAATGACAGATTCACAAATGACCAAAATTTAAAAAGTATAATTATGCATACAAAAATAGAAATTCAAGTTCTTAGGGGTAATTACATAAACTCACCAACGGCAAAGTCCACAAGCCCTGCAGCAACTGCTACTGCTGAACCACAAGAAGACCCTCCTGGTATACATGATGGCATCCGAGGATTAGTTGGAGTTCCATAATACTTGTTCTCGCCAGAAATCCTGACATAACAATGCCTTAAGTATATCAAATTGTTTCAGTTGACAACACAAAGCAAAAGGACTTCTAAAGGACTATCACCCAAAAGAGAATTCGTCCACAACAGTCTTGCCAACACAAGTGGCCCCGCTCTTGAGCAGAGCAGTCACCACAACCGCAGTCTTCTCCGCTGCCTTGTGTGTACTTTTCCACGTAGGATTTCCAAACCCCGTCACATAGTCCTTCACATCAAACCTGCCAACCCCAACAAGAACAAGCATGCCAAAAAATCGTTTAAATCAGAAACCACAACAATATCACAAGAAATGCTAGCAACACATTTTCTGGCACTCCTTAAATACACTATCTATTATTGATTGGAATTTATTAGAAATTACAAAATTTTGCAATACATACTTCTTATTTATTATGTCTCACTCATAATCTCGTAAATTTCAAAAAACATAGAATCTGTTTCCCAAATATCATATACCAAACCTCAAACCTCTAAGCAAATTTTTTTCTGAGTCCAGGAAAGTAAAAACCAAAAAAAGGTAAACATTTTACTCAAACGAATACGAAAACATAACCAGAGTTTGAGATAACAAGAATGTCCTTTATCACTAATCAAATGTCATGATATCGCAGACATGACATAACATAACTCAGCAAATTTTCTCTCAACCCCATTAAAGAAAAACATGGATAATTAATTAAAAAGTCAACTTTCACAATCAAACTAAAGCAAAGATTAAAAGCTTTTCGACGGAAGTTGAAAGTGACGAACGTGTCGTTTATGGCAAAGGTTAGAGCAGAGAGCGGTTGCTTGGCAGCAGGAGGAGGAAGCTGAGGAAAGGGAAGAAGTTCAAAGCGCTCAAGAAAAGCACCAAAGTATTGTTTGGGTGTTTTATTCCGCAGTGTTCTACGCCGGGTCTCCGCCAGAACCACGATTCCGGCAACTCCTACTCCGATGATCAACCAGAATTTGGGGTTGGAGGCATGTTCCTTGATTAGCTTCAGTGATTGGGACATGGTGAAGCAGAGAAAGGGAGTGTTAAAAGGGATTAGATAGTGGGTTTTGAGAGGGTTTTAGAGTTGGTGGGTTGTGCATAAAGGAGAAAAGGAACCAGAACTATCACGGAAAATGTGGGATCACCAGATTGTTCGTGCGTCCACTTTATGGGACTTCTTTAATTATATTTATTTGAATCATCATTTATAAATACCAGAACACCCTACACACGATTCACTTTTTTTTTTTTTCTTTTTTACAGTTATATTTTTATTTTTATGTCTAGTTAAACTTTTTAACATTAATTATTTTTTCATTCTATTTATGTAATAATTTATTTAATGTAATTCATACTCATCATTAAAAATTTTAATTAAATTTTTCAATTTTTTTATCATATCGTTTGATAATGTTGTATGTGTTAATTGAAAAAAAAAATCAGATTAATGTTATCATAAAATACTAATTGAAACTTCTAATAATAGAAAAAGGATACGTAGCTTATATAAATATAAATATTAAATTGATATGAATCACAAGGGTTAATTTAGGATTTTTAGCGTTAGAACCTTATAAGAAATTTAGGAATTAAGAAGGTGAATGGAAAGAATCATTATTCCTAAGGGAGACAACACACAAAGGATGTGAAAGTCCTTTGATACAACCAAGGGTTCTTGAATCACTCAAGAATTTAGGAAAATCACTTTCACTAAGATAAAAGAGATAAACTCTAATATTTCTAAATAACACTTGTTATTTCTTGATAAAAATGGTTCAGCTGATATAGAAGCGTTGTCATCAGAATTATAAAGACTCAACAAAAGAAAATAAATATTAATAATAACTCATTAATCTAGGAATTAAAAATTATTTAATTACTGATTGTATCTGAAACTGTGACAACCAAAAGTCAATCAGCTATGCACCCTCTTGGTCTCCCATGACTAAATTTTCAATTGAGCCCTTATTACAACTTGCAATAAAACTAAACTAAAGCTCATTAATTGATTAATTTAAAACATAATTTGGTCAACCAACAATACTTGTTGAAGAACTTCATTTGTTTCCCTTACTCTAGCCCTTATCATAGGTCATAGGTCATGTTCACATCATTCTCTTCCTCTTGAAAAGGATTTGTCCTTAAATCGGATTTGTCATCTACAGAAAAAAGAGATAAGTTTGATAAATTGAATGTAGAACTAACATTATACTCACTTTTTATGGCTAAATAGTTCTCCGTCACTTCAAGTGTTTCACTCTTTTTTTTGATCACTTTTTTTCCTCTCAAGTGTTTCACTAACGCTTTCTTTCTCTCTCTTTTCTTGAAGAAGTTTTTCTCTCATTTTCTTTTTATCCTCACACACTTCTTATGGAATCAAAGGTTTGAGCACAATCTTCTTGTCTTGGTGCATGAAAGAGATTTTGTTGGTGAACCCGTTATGATTAACTCTTTTATCAAATTGTCATGGTCTCCCCAAAAGTAAGTGACTGACTTCCATAGGAATAATATCACAAAGCACCTTATCATTGTATTTTCCAATGAAAATGTCCACTTCAACTTGTTGTCTCACTGACACCTCTCCATCCTCAACCTCAGATTCACTTATATATTCTCCCTCTCTAAGAACCATGATCTTTGTGTTAGGGCACTCATAAGCATAGTGTCCTAGGCCTTGACACTTGAAACATTTCACATCTCTACTTTTTTTAGAGGGTTGTTCTTCATATTTTGATGAGTCTTTGTAGGAATAGGTGTGGAACTACTAGAAGTAACAGTTCCATCTTTCTTGCCTTTGTCCTTCCAACTTGAAAATCCAAAGTTGGTAGAACTCTTCTTAGTCATTTATTTTCTTTTGAGTTGTTGCTCCACTTGAATTGTTTTATGAAGTAAATCCTCCATATCAACAAACTCCTGCAACTCAACAATATCACATATATCAATAATCAAACCACCAATAAATCGGGTCATAGTTACCTCTTCTTCTTCTTCAATCTTTGCTTGAATCATGAACATGTCCATTTCTTTCCTCAACCCCCTTGTTACCTTGAGTAAGTTTTTGGAGTTTAAATTTCAAGTCCCTTGCATAACTAGCCGACACATACCGCTTCCTTATGATCATTTTCATCTCAGTCCATGTATCAACCATTGACTCTTTATTTTTATCTCTCTTGTTTTGTAGCTTGTTCCATTAAACAAGAGCATAGTCAAAAAATTTCGTTGTTGCAAGTCTCACATTTTGGGTCTCCTCATAATTGTTGCATGAGAAAACATGCTCTATTTTCATCTCCCACTCCAAGTATGCTTTCGGATCACTTTTTCCTTTGAACGGAGGAATGTTAAGCTTGACTCCTTCAAACCTACTTGGTCTTGCTACTCCATCATTCATTCTCATATTTCTCCTTTCTTCTTCGTCTTTAGGATTTCTATTCTCCAACCGGTTCAATCTTTCATGGAACTCATTGTTATGTCGTATCATTAATCCTTCCAAATGTTGTACTAATACTCTCATTTGAAATGGACTAATTCCTGCTTCTTGATTGTAATTTTCCTCTTCTGCCATCAATTTGATGTTTAAACCCTTAAACCGGAGCTCTGAATACCAAATGAATCGCAAGGGGAAATTTAGGATCTTTAGGGTTAGAACCTTGTAAGAAATTTAGGAATTAGAAAGAAGGTGGAAAGAAATAATCACTCTTCCCAAGGGAGACAACACACAAAGGATGTGAAAGTCCTTTGATACAGCTAAGGGTTCTTGAATCACTCAAAAATTTAAGAGAATCACTCTCACTAAGATAAAAGAGATAAACTCTAATATTTCTGAATAAAATTTCACTTGATATTTCTTGATAAAAATGGTTAGCTGATATAGAAGCGTTGTCATCAGAATTATAAAGACTCAATAAAAGAAAATAAATACTAATAATAACCCATTAATTTAGGAATTGAAAATTATTTAATGACTTATTGTATCTGAAACTGTGGCAACCAAAAGTCAATCAGTTATGCACCCTCTTGGTCTCCTTGATGACTAAATTTTCAATTGAGCCCTTATTACAACTTGCAATAAAACTAAACTAAAGCCCATTAATTGATTAATTCAAAACATAATTTGGTCAAACAACAATACTTGTTGAAGAGCTTCATTTGTTTCCCTTACTCTAGCCCTTATCATAGGTCATGTTTGCATCATAAATGAATAATTTTAACAAACTTTTTCTAAGAAATCTCTACTTTTTTTATACTAAAATCAACAATGTTATTTGATTTAAATATCTTTATTTGTTTTAAATTTATATACATATATATTTATGAAATAAGTAATTTTTTAGATTGATATTATTTCGATTTTATATTTATTTTCTGTGTGAACTTTTTTTTATCATAGGTGAATATCTAAAACTTTCTTTATTATTGAATATCAATATGATTTCAATAACAACGACAAATTAGGTAGGTGAAACTGATAAATAAATTACATAATAAACTTTTCTTGTTTAATTTATACAAGAAATTTTTCATCCATAAAATCTTTTTACAAGCTTCAAATATTATTATGTATTTTACTTAAATGGTCAATAAAATATACTTTTCTAATTTGTGTTGTCATGACATAACTATTCTTTCAAAAGTGATTACATATTTTGATATAAATTTTTTTTTATCTACATAGATGATCATGTCAACATTTGTATATCCTTTTAATTTAGGATTTGTATCATCATAATAAAAACATCCTTAATTCTTTTTAAATACCTTAGTATCTATTTTGCTACATTTTATTGCTCCTTACTAGGATTTGACAAGAATAGACAACTCCTCTACATAAATAATTTCTAGTCTTTTCTAAATCATGGTGTAAATAAAATTGCCTATTATAGATAAATAAGACATATTGATAATCTTTTTCTTATTTGTTAAGGATTGTCCCTTATATAACTTCATGTACTCAATAAGTGAAATATTCACTAAACTTATCATGTGTTGTATTGAAATTTTTGTGTACCTTTTCGATATAATTTTCTTGCAACAAACAAAACAACCTCTTGGAGTGATCTCTAAAAATCTTTATTCCAAAAATTTGATTTGTAGGTCCTAAGTCCTTTATGATAAAACCTTGCTTAAGACTTTCTTCTGACTAATCATCTTCTTCTTATCTGATAAACAATTAGCATATCATCAATGTATAATAATACTAATATGAAAAAATCATTATAGTTATTATTTTTTAGGAATACACAATGATCAATTGAGAAAATTATACTTAGTCATAAAAGATTCAAACTTTTTATATAACTACGTAAAGATATGCTTTAAATCATAAACACTTTCTTCATATCTAATTAAGTGATTTATTAAGTCATTATCATCTTCACAACTTCACCCTAAAAAGACTTAGGGAAGTTTGTATGATTTAGCATAAATATAACTTTTCCTTAAATGGTTTGATTCATTCTTTAATCACTCCATTCAGTTAAGAAGTCTTTGGAGGGATCTTCTCTAGTTTAATACCACGTCTTTGACAATATGTTTTACCATTCTAGATATTGCCCATTTATTTTAGGAAGATTATATTAGGCAAATATTTATATTTCTTTGTCATTCATGTGATCTAATCGTTCATGCCAAAATTTTTGGAATCATTTACCAAGTTTTTTATCCCATACAAATTTTTCCTTGCATGATATACAAGGATCCTTCCTTTTAGCATTTCGCGATAATCATCCTTCCTTTTGTCAACTTTTACTTTTTGCACCAAAGTGATTTAAGAGTCCTACACCATCTAACTTCCTAATTGAGATAAGGTTCAAGCATATACCTCATTTCTTTTAGCATGAGCTTACTTAGTGCATATGTTGACATCATCACATATTTTATGCCAACATTTTTTTCTTATAACATGATTCCCGATTTTAACAATGTTAAAATATGTCGTATTGTAATTTGCAAAGAAACCTTTATGTAGGCTTATTTGATACGATGCTCTAGAATCTATAGTTCAAGAGCAATCATCTTAAGCAACATTAAGATAATTATATATTTCAAAGAAGAAAACATCTTTCTCTTTGTAGATTTTTCATTTTTCTTTATTGGGCTCCAACTTATCTATATGGTCAAACCCAACTTTTTGATATGTTTTAAAAAATATAAACTCAAACTTTACTTGTCCTATTTTACCACAGTTGTAATAAGTAAATCGTCCTCTTTTCTTGATTTTTTCGGGATTCTTTCCATTCATTGTTCTCATTTCTTGCTTTACCTATCAAATTTCCTCATACTGATAAGATATTATATATATTTTTTAATTTAAGTAATTATGATTGATATATTGTTAATATTTGATATTTTAAAACATATACACACATATGAATATGTGTGTGTATGTTTCACATATTTCACATATAAAAATATACAAATAAAAATGCACATGAGAGATATATTTCGCATATAAAAATATATATATATATATATATATATATATATATATATATATATATATAAAATCTTATAAATTCTCAACAATGATATCAAAGTTTTGAGTCATAGAATGGAAGGAAAAATAAAAATTTTCACAACTCGTCATTTTATTTTTCGATGACAAAAGTTACGACTTATGACGTAGTCTTATCTTGAGGGACTATATTTATTAAAAGTCATGAAAGAAGATTTTTACACCATGAATCCGTTGCTTGAAATTCCACCATAACTCAATTCAAAATGAAAGAAAAATGAAAAAAACAAAAATAAAGTCATGTTTGTACGTAAATACTTCACAAGTGATTCTCATTAGAATTATAATCTAAAGTTAACAAAAAAAATTGGTATTATTTTAACGAAAAATATGAAATATCCACAAAGAGGGATAGAAGAACCTTGAAAGAAAAAACTCATCCAACCACACCAACATTATTATTGGAAAACAAGAATTTAGAAAATAACAAATGTTCAAGAAATATTACCACAAATATGCCTTTAGAAGAAGAAAATTGAAGATCTATTGAAGATAAAAAATAAAACTTTTAAGCAGAAGGATAAAGAGTTCAAAAATCGTGGTCGTGAAATAATTTTTTTTTAGAATAAGTTAAAAGAGTTTAAATTAATTTTAACTTTGCTTGTGTTGAAAAATAATAAAACAAAGAAGAAAAATAAAAATAAGAGTGCTCTTAGAAGAAAATTCTTTCTCCACCTTATTTTGTGGATGAAAGAAATAAAATGAGATCTAGAAAACAAATTTCGATAAAGGCTAAATGAAATATTCTCAAAAATATTTAGAAATAATACATTTTAAAAAAATTATTTACAAATAATTACAAAAGAAAAACGTGATAATAAAATAATAAAATGGAACATCTCTCATATAAGAAAAAAATCAAAAAATTACAAATAAAAGAGAAAAAAAATCAAATTCAAATAAAATATATTAAAATATGAATAAAATAATTAAAAATTAAATAAAAAAATCTTACTTTATTCAACAAAACAATATCATATCTTCATCATTAAACATATATTTATAAAACTATAATCATTAAAAGATCAATAAAAAAAAATAATAATAAATAAACATCAATTTAAATATATCTATTTATGTTTTGAAAAAAAATCCATCGCTTTATAAACTCAAAAAAAAAAAAATAGTTATTTCACTTCCATACTCTCCATTTAATCTTACAAAAATTCCTTTTCCTTAAATCACTTTTTCCTTTTTACTTTCTCTTTCTTGTGAAATAGAATATTTTCCTGTAGCCCTATAAAAATCTTGTCAAATTTTTATCTTAATTTTTGTTAATTCGTATTAAAATATTATAAATCAAAGAAGTCTTCGTTATTACTTTCACGTCACATGCTTTGGTATGTTAAAGAAAAAAAAAACACTTCAATAAAAATGAAAAGAAAAAAAAATCTATGTTTTATTGATGTCGAAAGAAAAAAAAAAAGAGTAGGGTAAGTTCTACTCCTCTATTTGATAACATATATGCAGAGGGATTTTTTTAATAATGTTTAAAGGCTAAATAGTATTAGACTTTATTTGAAGCATGTGTTAAAGTGGTTATGTGTCTGTATCTTTTATAATTATTTTTTTAAAATATTTTTTTAAATTTTATTTTATCTTTTTATTTTTTAAATATATACTTTTTTCTTTTATATATTTATTATTTTTTAAATATATAAATTATAATAATTAATATTTTTTTTTCTTTGCTTATGACGCCAACAAATAATTATAAAAGAGAAAAGATCTTATCAAATCTTTACTCAGGATCTTGCATATAAAAATAAGAAAAAAAAAACTTTTAACATCAGTTCATCTTACATCAAATACTATATCTAATCCTTGTCCCACTAGCAAGAATTCCACCAAAAAATAGTTTTATAAAAAATGTTTATATATGAAAATTAGCTTGCATTGTGGTTCGAATTCTTATATAAAAAATAATGTTCTCTATTCCTTGTATTCTCACCAGACTTTTATGAAGAGCTTGAAAGTATACAATAGCAAATACGAGAACATTGGTGACATTAAATGTATAGAATACCTTCACTAGTTTATCTTATTTATTACCACTTTCATTATACACTAAATATAACTTTCTTCTTGTGTTTAACAATAATTTTTGTTAATTGACAATAAAAATATATATAATCAATAACTTTGTTTTATACAATTAGTATTAGTACAATATATATACATATATTTTAATTTAAGATACTAAAATACTAAAATATAATATATATAATTAAGATATTTTTTATTTTAGAAACCAAATTTGTAAGATTAATTAGACCTAACATAAGAATTTTCCTCAGAAAAAAACTTAAGGAATGTTAATGAATCATTAAGTTAATTCAAGTAGTTCAAAACACTATGTGAATATGTATACCCCTCAAAAAAGAGGAGAAAAAAAATGGCAAATGGGAAGAAAATAACAATTGATGTCTCAAACAATTGGTATATTAGCTTGAATTTGAATTGTAGCCAGAGACGAAGGAACTCAAGCTAGGGTCATGTCAACTACTCATACACACGGTTTATGAAATAAATGCATAAATCCCCTGTTCAATTTATAAACCGCTGCCACCATCTTCTTCACGCTGCACCACGACATAATAATAATAATAATAATATAATAATAATAATGCATATTACAAAGAAAAATTATGGTGTGAATCTACACAACGAAGAAATCAAGAAATACTAAATGCCACGACCCAAATTCGAGAACTCAAATTTTATATTTTTACATATGAAGGGAAGGGGCAAAACCTATTTTGCAGGAAATTCCACATTGATAATGGATTTTCAGAAGCATGGAATTGCATCTTGATATGTAGAATATATATATATATATATATATATATATATATATATATATATACCCTGATTTTAGAGACTATGTTCCCTTTTTCAACCCTTGAAACGAACTACAATGCAGGAAATATCATCCTTACTGTCTTTGTTCAATGCCTCAGTGGCTAGTTGTTTGGCTGCTTTTTGTGGATCCTTTATTCTTCTTGCAATATCAACAGCTTCTTGATTTGCCATTACCTGAACAAATGCAAAATTTGAGTACATGGAATAGGTTTTTACCAAAAAAAAATGTGCTTGACCTTTCCCTTTTCCCAATCCCTAATGTATCATTTTGTCCTGCAACTACATTATTTTCCATTTAAATTAGTTGGACAGAAATAAAAAATCAAAGGTAAGTTAAGGAATGGAAAGTGCAGTTTTGTCTTAATGGAAAAATGGAGAAAAGAGGATCATAAAAAACCTTCCATAGACCATCACTAGCAAGTATCAAAAGCTCAATATCTGGGGTAATATCAGTGTACTGGATGTCAGGATCAGATCGCAAGTGTGTTTTTAGGTTTTTGTCTCCGAAGGCTCGAGAAACTGCTAGCTGACCGTTCACCCTTGCAACATCACCTGATATTAAACACAAAGGAAGAAATTGTTACAAGGTAGAAAGCTTTCAAGCCATAAAAAACCAAGGTAAATGGTAATAACAAATCATGATTTATTGAGGAAAAGATGCTCAGTGATGAACCAAGTCCAAACAGAGAAGTTCAGAGTCATTCTACAAAGTGTAACCAAAATGAGTCGCATGTTTAGAATTAAGACAACTTTCCATCAACACAAAACCCTGACTGATGTTTGATCATTTCCTTTATATTGTTGTAAGATGATAAAGGAAATTATCAAACAAGAGGACATTTTGGTGCATAAAGTACAATGACATTATTTGATCAAGGGTTTAGGGTGAGTATGGATCTATGGCCATGGCTGCCTGTGATATTATTTGGATAATCAAACCTCTATCTCTCTCTCTCTCACACACATATCATCTCCATCTCTCTCACAGCCACATCTTGCAATTTGAAAATGCAAATTGGATTATGAGACTTGTAATGTTTTGGAAACAAATCAGCATTACACATCCAAAGCAATAACTCATTGAACTCAGGGAGGGTTAATTGAAGAACCTGGCATGTTTGAGACAAAGCCACCTTTGGTCTCAATGCTGCCCCGCTCAGTATTGGGCTCATGATCAGTTGTCATTTGTGCAGCCTCCCCTCCCCTTGACACAACAGCTCGCGAATCTCCAACATTGGCAACCCATAATTTCTGATTATTTATGAGAATTGCAGTCACTGCAGTTGATCCTCCTCGCCCCAAATCAGGACTGTGAGAAAGAATTGCCTGGTCTGTTGTTTCATATGCATTGGAAATGGACATGAATGGATCATTCCAGAAGTCCCCCTGGATAAAGAATCACAAATCCACAATCATAAATGTAGTTAACGTATTAAAATAACATGTATAAGCCAAATTTACCATTACTCGTCCTTTCAAATTTATTTTCCAAGGAGAGAGATCTTACCAACCTCTTCAAGACATTAAAACTAATATGACTCATCCTTTCATATGATAGGAAGCAATATATTGATTGCCAAAAAGTATAGGAAGTTGAGAGCAAAAGAAAATTAGTATACCATATGCAATATAAAATAGAAATGAAGAAAAACCCTTATTCCAGATAAATCAGATGAAATTAAGTTAATAAATCCATAACAGATTTAGTTTGATTCAACAACTCACTTCCTTCAAGATATTAGTAAACAGATGCTTTTGTAAATAGGCCGGTACACTATCTCCCAGGTGTCCATCAAATATAGCAAAAAGCCCAAGCTCTTCCCCTTTGAACTGGACAAATTTTGCTACATGGTAGTCCTCCATGGGGTGGTTTGCTTTCCCTTTAACTAGGCTATATCCATATTTGACCGAGGACTGGCTGCTCTTTCCCTTGCCCGAGGTACATGAAGAACGTCCTCCAACCACCTAAAGATAGAGAAATTAGAATACAACGGAAGAGTTTATAGATGTTCTTTAACATATTTCAAGAATGTATATCGAAAGAAAAGAAAAATTTTACATCTGTGATTACCAAAAGGCATATAAGTTAAAAGGTATCACCAAGACAGAGTCAGAAACAAAATGAATAAACATATTGACTACTCAATTATCTCATATTTTCATCTAGTATGGTGTATGCTATTCAATCAATGCCCGGAAACTGCAATAAATCAATCATAGGTATACTACCAAAATATTGCCTATTAGCACAAATAAACACGCTATAAGGCACCGCATGTAAATAAAAGAGGCATTACAGGAAGTGGACCAAAACTCACTGTTCAACAAATGGACCATTTTTGGTGTTAATCATCACTAATATATTTGAAATTAAACATGTCTCACAAATGCCAATTCAATCTTTACAGCTACCTATATCCTGAGAAACTTCTCTCTCCTACCTGTTTCAGTATCAACATTTCTGATCCAGTAAAAGATTGAACACGATTTATGAATTATTCATCTCAACCCAACCATATTATTTCTCTCACAATGCAAGTAACACTTCTGGCCACCCTGGCATCAATATTTTCAGGAAGTGAAGGAAGAAGCCAAGAAATGACTAACCCTCTTTGAGTCTCATGGTATGTCCTGACCTTCAAATCTACTAAAATTTATTTTTCCTAAAAAAAAAAACTCATAACGGACTATTTCTTCTCTGAAGATCTGATTCCACAGAAACTCCCATTGTCTGATAACATTAGTATCTTGTTGGTAGCTCCCACCCATGTTAGACTTGTTTGGGTCTTAATCCTGCATTGGTGTTGTATTCTTACAAGCATTTAGCTTACCTCTCTTTTTTCTCAAATAAAATCCTTCCTAAATGGGTTTATCTGCTTTCGCCCTCTTTGGCTCGTTTCTTTCTATTAGGCTATATCATAGCTACTTGGTTTTTATTCCTTATTTGGTTTGTGTATTGGTGTAGTTGGTATATTTTTTTGGCAGCTAGTTTCAATTTAGCTCTATTCTTGTATCATTCTTCATGTTCTCTTCCAGCTATCTGTTGATCAAGCGAATTCAGAAGATTCAAATTTTCTCATTCCAACCATCAACTGATCTTCTGGACATGCATCATGCCAACCATCCACCTCTCTTCTAAACATTGCTCAACAATTAATTTGCAGTACCTCTGTGAGGATGTTTGGAAAGAGAACAATGAAGTGAAAATTCCAATCATAAGGAAAGGTGTTCTTCCAACTACGGGTCAGATTCAATATCCAAGGTTTGGATAAGTATTTCATGGCAGTTAAGAAGCGAAGATCATCAGAAATGAAGAGTAGATCATCAAAGCAGAAACATAATTTGAAGTGCAAAGAAGTGACGATTATATATGTTACATTAAGTATGGAATGATCAACCACTCATTGGGGAGAAACAGAAGATGATCTTGGAATTAGTGTTCTATGAGGGTTCATGAGTTTATTCTGTGCAACCTCTACTGTATATACAACAAAACCAAAAGATGTCAGGTACGTGAATCAAACAATAACAATGTCTTCTGTTTAAAACCAAATTATGAGAAAGAACTTCTACATTATAGGCTTATCCAATATTTTCTCTCGGAGTTTTCCTTGGTCAACCACTTCCCTTTTATTGATCTATCTTCCATCTAATTAATTCTTCTAACATGGGATTTAATTGTTCTCCTCCACACATGAACAAACCATGTCAGTCAAGACTATGTCAAAACTCAATAGGTGGTATTACTACTTTTTCTGTATATATATATCCATTACTAATCCTATCTTATTTAGCAAGTACATTCATCTACCAAAATATTATATTTCTGCAATACTTGTGCTCTAGTTGGCACTTCAGCCAACATTCAACTCCATTAGAAATGTTACATCGACTAGTGAAATAACCAAATTAAAGTATACAAATATAAGACAATTCTCATCTTACAAACCTTGTAGGATTGAATTAGACTCTAATCCAAATTCAAAGATGATATCAAAGTTTATACTATTATTTTCGGCCTTATCAAATCTCTTGCTATTACTTCATTATTAGACCACTCACAAATGTTCTGTGCTGTAAACTTCACACTTGAAATGTCCAATTATTGACATGGGGGAAATGCGTTGGAGATCTTACATCTAGTACTATGACCAAATAAAAGTATATAAGAGAAAACCCTCACCTTACAAGCTACTTTTGTAGGATATTAGACTCAAACCCAAATTCTAAAACATACCATAGACCACAATTGGTCTTACAACTATTTAGCCAATTTCCTTTAAAGCCTGATCTGCTCCATTTTTATCACAAATAAGACAGTCATTTGTCCATTTTATCCATTCTATCTAAAGTCATTTTACATCTCCAATTTCTCAGTCACTTTGTATGTTAAATATAAGATACCAAAACCACATAGCCTTTTAGTATAGTATGATTGCAGATTTTCACATCCAAGTCAATGATAGCACATGTCCTTCTGAGTTTGCATTCCATATACTCTTTCTTGTGCTCAATCAAAAATCCCGTGATTCCAAAGCTTCTCTCCACAGTTTAAATTTTCTCTCTTAACTCTCACTAGGACTAACATATTCAAAAGACAAGCATTGAGTCACCGGCTTCTAGATTATTAAGTACATCCTAAAACAAGGTAAGAAATCCTTGTAGTGCAATTCTTTTATAGGATATCCTCCATGGCCCACTGTTCTTTATAATTAAATGTCAATATGAGTTAAAGCATGCACGATCATTCTCTACTTTTCAAGTCCAAAACATTCTTGCACGGAGGAGCATGTTACAGACATAAAATCATTGTTATGCCTCCATCAAAAGCTTAAGCTTTTAGAAGAGCCTGTTATTGACAACTGTTAAATCACAGAAATAATCAATATAGAAAACCTTTTTCATCAAGTAAGAGTCGGAAAAAAAATTTGGAAAAGTCCCAAGTCCATTCACTAGCTTAATATCAGAGCTTAGTTCTCAATTCTCAATCAGCCATTCACCACATGACATCATTACATGGAGATTGATTATTTCCAAAAAGAGGGAAAAAGGAGAAGAAAATATTAAAAAGGGACAGAATTCCTCACCTGGCTGACAGAGCTGAAGCAACAAAGACTATCCATTGAATCCAGCCCCACCTCAACCTTTCCGTCTATCACTCAACATCTAACTCACAAAACTGCAAACCATAAAAAACAAAACTCAACGTGAGTGAAAGTCCAAAAACTACCCAAGAAAAAAATTGCAAAGAGAGGCCGATCAATAAAACAAGCAATTCAATTATCCCAGAAAAAAAATAACAAAAAAAAGGGAAATTCCCAACACCCAGATAATGAAGTGGTTATCCAAATACTCCCTTACCGATCAAAAAATCAAAACTTTTCCCTGGAAAAAGATCTGCAAGGGAAGTGGTCGTCTCTAGATAATTGTTGAAGGAAGAAGAGGGAGAAAAAAATTAAAGGGAAGAAGGAGAAGAACGTAAAAAAGTGAAATTTTATTTATTGATATAAGAGGAATAGGAAGAAGGAATAGGGGATGGTTGGAAGAGTAGACTTAGATAACCGTCTGGTATTGGTTTTGTTGAGAAAGTCTTTGTGCAGTTTTGTTAGCAACGGAATGAGAATGGGGGCCAAAAGGCATAGGTTGCCCTTATTGACTTTTGCAGTTTCTCTGTGTCCTTGTTTTATTGCTGACACTGTTTCTTTGTTTCTTTCTTCCTTTGATTATTACAGCTGTTTTTGTTTCGAGGATTCACTTCACTTCACATTAACGTAAATAACATTACATAGTTCCCTCCTTCCTATAAACCCAACAACGAACGAGCAAAGTGTGTTTTATTGTATTCTATTGCATTGCCATTGGTTGAGTTTCTCAGCCCATTTATGGGGTCCACTCAGAGGTCGGCCAAATTTTCAACCTTCCATTTTCTCTTTCTTGCTTCCTCACTCTTGTCCCCAGAAGGGTCAAAAGAAAAAACAAAGCAAATTACAAAAGTACTGTACAATACTCTTTTGTGTACTCTAAGTGCTGTAAAATTATTACCTCAAAGACTTCGATTCTGTACACAGAAAAAAAAAAGGTTCTTATTTTCTTAAGGTTAATAATATGGTAGATAGACCATAATATTTGGAAATTTTCAGAATTTTTTAGTTTATCTTTTATGGTAGATAGACCATAATATTAGTTTAAAAATTATATATTTATCAAATACACAACCGGACAAAGCAGGAAAAAATTACATTATAGTCATATTTTGATTAAAATAACTATTCCTCGATAAGAATTGACATGCATTGTTACAGTAATTTAAAAATATATATATAATAGAATGTAAAATAGTTTTTTATTATCGTCTAAATATGTTATAAATTTACTTATTTTTGTAAAAGTTATTAAACTTAATATGCATATATATAATTGAATGGAAGCATATTCAAAATATCACATTTTTTTCATCTATTTTTAATTTATTAGACTCAACTAAAATATTATTTAAGATATTTAATTTTCATAATTTTTAATGCAAATAATATTCAATAAAATTATTATTATTATATATAATCCTTAAAATTATTAAAATGTACAATTAATACCCATTATTTAATATTTGTTATTTACATTAATCATTGGAGTTAATGACATTAACTAATAATTTTTATTTGTTGAAACGTACTTTGTTACCTTGCCCTTTTACATGTCACTAGGAATGACAATTAAACTCATCCCCGTGGGGACCGACCCGTCCCCGTTCCGAGTTTGACGGGAAAAACCTGAGTTGACCGGAGCAGGGGCGGGGTTCGGGTTTTCCCCGCTTTAAAAAGTCGGGGCGGGGATGGTAATGCAATCCCCACCCCGACCCCGGCCTCATCCCGTCCCGACTTTATATTTAAATTTAAATTTTAAAAGTATTTTCTTTTCTTTTTCTATTACATATAAGATCATTTTTTTATATTTTACCAAATTTTATTTTTCTTTTACCTATTTTTTAGTTTTTTTTTATCTTTTTTAATATTTTATATCAATTAATTTATTATATTATTCTCTCTTATACCTTGTAGTTTTTCATATTTTCTTAATCTCTCTCATCAATTTGTTTTTTTTTCAATCTTTTCAATCAATTTGATGAACACGAGTTAATTTTTTTATTTTTTATCCTTTTTTAAATATTTTACATAAATCTTAATAGTAACTAATATTATTTTATTTATAATTTATATTTATTAGGTTTTATTATGTCATTTGTTTATCTTATTATTCTTATTTATCATATATCAAATTTTATCTTAATAAAATAATTGTATTTTAAAGGATTAAAGGAATTGACAATTTAAACTTTTATTACTTTGAATTAATTGAATAATAATTAACTTATTAAATATTTCATTATAAACTATATATTTCATATTTTAAAATTACAACTTAAAAATGAATTAACTTATATATATATATATATATATATATATATATATATATATATATCAAATGTTTGAATACGGTATTATAATAATAATGATAATGTTATAAGTATTCAAATATTTGAATACAGTATTATAATAATAATAATAATAATGTTATAAATAAAAAATGATTAAATATTTCTTTTACATACATATTTTAATATAAATATAATAAATTAAAATGTATATTTAATTAATAATTATTATAAATTATAAAATTATAAATATTTATTTATATATAAAAAATAGATAGTAAAATTAATTTATTATAAATGTAATTATCTTTTTAAAAATAATATAGATCGGGGACGGGAACCCGAAACCCAAGCAGGACGGGGATAGAGACTTAATTTTTAATCCCTAGCGGGGATCGGGGACGAAGATGATTAAAAAAATCGGAAGCGGGGATCGGGAGGCAAAACCCGCCCTTGCCCCGCTCTCGCCCGCCCGTTGCCATGCCTCGTCACTAATATATTCTCACATAACATGGACTTGAGTTAAATTTAGATTAAATATCTTTTTGAGTCTTTGAGAGTATATAATAATTTTTATTTAGTACCTAAAAGTATTAAGATGTAAAATTAATATCATAATTTAAGTTTTATGATTCACACAATCTTTAGGATAAATAAAGTTAACTAACAATGCTAGTTTATTGGTAGAGAAGTTAAATGATACGTTAACTA